CAAAGAAACAAACTTAAGTGGTTTTATTATCGTATTATCATATCGTTTTATTTCCACAACTCAAACTGCTTTTCAACCCCTTTTTTTCTACAGCGTCGCATCATATCAATATTTCTATGCTCATTGAAAACCATCCCGAAAGTTACTGGCTTTGTGTGCCTTTTGTAATTATCGCCATTAATTAGCAACCAGTTACAGTTACATCATACATACTACAAAAATCGTGTAAACAAGTTACGAAGACTGTTAAGAAGTCTTTAAAGTCTTATTATAATATCATAAATATATAAATGCGTACCTTAGTAAAGTGCACCTCTTGATTAATTGATAAGTGAAGCACATATACTGCTTTACCTTTCCGAAACGCAAAGTATTTTTCGGATGCTCCAAATCATTGTTTGGATGTTCGACAACCATCACCAGTTAATACAAAAATCTGCGCAGATGCTATATATGGATACAATGTATACTATTAAGTGCACTATTGTAAGTTAGAAATACAACGTGAAAACGAGTACTATTTAACGCAAAGGGAATGTATATGGAGAGAATCATGATACCGAACAACGTACAGGTACTATTAAAGATGATTTCTAGTCCGTACTGCGCAGTCTCAGCACCGTAATGCTTATAAACTTATAAGTCTCACTCGATGGAATGCGAATCGATGTTATTCGTTACGAACCACATATCTTATCTTTGAGGCCTTTCAAATTCTTTTTCCAACAGCTTCACTGAGTTTAACAGCTGCAAAGTTGTTTCTTCAAGGATATGAGAAAGAACGAAGCATAAAGCTTCGACCGCTTCGCATCCTTAATGACCGTTGCTTTGAAACTTTGAATTTACTTCATGTAAGTAGTGGCGGAATGTTTACATTTTAGGATGTCTTACATGAGGCAAAACAAAAAACGCAACCAAGTTCTTGAGAGCGCGAGGTACGGACTGGAAATCGTCTTTAAGATCTCTAGGTACTATATATTACACTGAACTCGATCAACAGCCGTGCATGATGGCAGTATTATAAGAAAACTCTGAAAGACTTTGATGATCCCAGGCTAAGATAAAAGAAAATAGCATGAACAATGAGCATTATTGCGTAGTTTTTGGGATTTTTAAATTACAATATTTGCACATGTTAAGAGCGCACATGTTAAGACAGAAAATTATCCCATATATGAACTCTTAAACTTTTTATCAGTTTTGTGACAACTCTAAAATCCTGTCATACACCAACTGTTTGGAAGAAGCTGTGATTAGAATCATTATATGTTTGCTCATTTTTAATAGTATCACACTGATCATAAAACATATTAACAGTTTATTTGGTCTTGGGGGAGCTGTCTTAAAATTAGAGACGTTTGTACCAGGTATAGATTTTGAACCATTGATTGAACTAAAGTTGGTCTCTTTTCATCCTTAATTTAAAAAGGAATCAAACTTGGTCAAATGACCAATCTCAACGTGATCTTCTATACGGTAAGGTTAGTTTATCGAGTGGTTAAAATTTGGACCTAACCCGGCCCCATGCAGTTCCCTGTGCAACTCCAAAATGGACAATTATACAGGTAAAACTAAAGCAAAGCGTCATTGAGGGCTGGGGAGATTTGGGGAACAAGGGAAAATGATCGTTTATTTCAAGGGAACAAGGGATACCTCTACTGTAAGGGGAACAGTGGAAATTATGAACAAGAAAGAAAAGTGAAATTCTCAAGGGATTAACGGAACATGCTACCCCCCCCCCCCCTTCCCTTCCCTACATTGGGAGGCTCTCGCCATTGGGAAGCTTCTCTGCTGACTGCTAAGAAAGTAGATTGTGTGATAGTGACAACAACTATTCATATTATAGCACGAAAGTATAAGGTAAGTCCAACGCCCTGACGAGGCACGTTACAATATGAGTCGTACAGGGCATCCACACCATATTGCCCTGTAGGGCCGAAGTTGGTCTCATGGCTTGAAAGACACAAAGCGTGACCAAGGCTCAGAGATGAGTAGCAATCACAGTTATCATCGTCCAACAGAACAGATTTGACGCCTTCTTCCTCGCGGTACATGAACGAATCTTGGCTTTGCCCCGGCGAAACACCTTTCAACACCGCAGGATTCCAGCCAGGTGACTCGTTTAGAACATCTCCGACAGATATGACCTCATGATCATGGAATGCCCGCCAAGCCGCACGCGCGACTGGAGTGGCGGCGCCAAAACCCCATAAGTACTCGTTTCCTTGAGAGTCGATGGCAAGCATCTCAGTGGAGGCTGCAACGGCGTCCGAAGGAAGGCGACCGAAGCAGTATGGATCGCTTGCTTGGCAATGACCGAATTCATAAGCCAGGACGTCATTCTCATGTGATGGCCACGTGGTATCGATGTCATACCACCAGAAAGCTGTCCAGTTCCCATAGGGGGTAGAGAGAGTTCGACCTACAATAGATTACTGAAACAACTTAGAAAGTCACTACAACATTTATTGTACTAAACAAATCCTAGGAAAAAACGAAAATAATGCTATTATTCTACTAGAAAATGAGGTAATATAGCTACCTGGAATATAACTTCTAAATAAAAGCACGTAGAAGCCATAACAGAGGAATAGCAGTTGCTCGACTCCTACTAAGATGAGAAAAGAATTGTAAAGAAATACTTCCGGTTAGAGAAGGAATACCGTAGGAATGCCGGAAGCATTAGACTACTAAAGAAAATCTTCGAGGAGAACTGCTAATAGAGTTATTATTGGCAAGAGTCCATGACCTAACATAAAATAAGGTGAACGAAGAACATCAGTGTGATGGATTTTTGGTACAAAACTACGGAGGGACGTGAAGACGATTCTAGAAATCTATCTTTGTGTAACTTGAATTTTTTTAAATTTCTGTCAATTGAAATTGTTTGAAAGAATAATAACATAATGTCACAAATAATGCACCGGACTTATTCAAAGCGAACAATCCAACAAAAACTTCTCAAACTTACCTTCCTCACAGTTTTTTCCAACGTTGAACTGCCAAGGACACAGACAACGATAACTGTTCTGCTCATAGATTGGTAAACATTTTCCTCCGTTTAAACACGGTTCCCTGTCACACGGACTCTACGACAGAAATGAAATCAATCACATAACCTGTAACATGTTTCATGCTTTGTGCTCGCGCTTTTTTTTTCTTTTTTGTAATTTTTGCTTTTACTTCAATTTAAAGATAATATAGGTTACCAAAATGAAAATTTTTATTTCGTGTGCATAGGAAAATTATCAGCCGCCTTCAGGCCCATCTGCACTAATAGTCTGCGAACGCATTTTTACCTGGTACCGCGCCTTTTAAGTTTAGACCCCGTCCACAATACGACGGAGGAATTTGAAAACGAAGGTTTCACTCTGAAAACGCATCAAATGTTTTCCGACCACACTACGCCGGAGGAATTTAAAAACGCAAGAATCACCGGTTATTTTGGACTTGTGTTTGAGGGAATTCGGACAGGGAAATCTAATGATAATCGTGACGCCTTCGTTTTCAAAAAGCGCTCTGTTTTCAAACTGTTTTCCGTCCACACGAAAATGAAAAACGCTTACCGTTGTTTTCAAATTCCTTCGGTTTGAAGAGCGTTTTCGAAAAGCTCCGTTTTCGTGACGGACGGTAGGCCAATCCGTGAAATAAAGCTGCGTTTTCAAATTTCTCCGGCGTAGTGTGAATGCTGTCTTAATTGTCAGAATCTGTCTTCTGCGCACGGCGTTGGTAAATTTTAGTGCATGTGAGTACATCCAAAAACGGCTCCAAAACCACGACACCAGTTTTTTNTAGGTTTGGTGCCGCAAACAATATTAAATTCGGCAGGGTCTGTCGCACTATGCCACGTTGGAGCGGCAGCTGATTCACACGGCGTTCTCCTCATGTGTCGAACCTAATGCATAAATTACTGTAATGTATTTTTCATATCACGGGACTCGTAATTGGCTCAAAATTGAGTGTCGTGACCAGTCATGCATGAAGCTCGAAGTCGTTCCTAAAAATAAACACAACGAAATTAAATATGCCTTCGATTTAAAAGAAACGGGACTGTACAAGCGAGTTTCTTTCGCGCAAATTCATTTTGTTGCTTTTTCTTCGTGATAATAGCAGAGGTTATGCGATTTCCCTTTAACAAGTCGAATTAACCGGGAGAAAACCTGTCTAAATACAAACACTGAACCTTGAGTTTGAATTTGCTTCTCTAAATATTGCTATAACAGCAGATAACAGCAGATAACAGCGAAATGTTAGTCACAGCTTTTCTATTTGGACAGAGTTCTTGAATACAGAACGCGTATTTTCTCGTCGAAAATTGTTACCACCGGCTTCCCGAATTAGGTTCGACGCAAGCACGCCGTCTGAACCAGCCGTCGCTCCAAAGTCGCTCTAAAGTCGAACTAAATCAATTTTGGTTCGGCACATGAGTGGAGCGGCGTTTGGACCGGGCCTTATATTTCAACTGAACGACTAACGTTAGCCGGCTCAGAGTTGTTCCAGTGAAAATTTTCAGCGAGAGAAAGAGTGAACCTTGAACAAAAATTGAACAAAAAATTCTGCTTACCACCACTGAGAAATGCTGAAATGTTTCGTCAATCGCCATTTTGTCCGAAGATTGGAACTTGTTAGCTGAAAGAAGCTGGCACTCGTTTCGTCCAATTCCGCCATAATTCACAGAAAAGCAGCTCTTGTTTGGCAAGCATTTCGCACAACATTGGGAAAAAGA